TTTATTTATTTATTTATACTATTCGTAAACTGGAAGATAGCTGATTTTCAGTATGTAGGAAGTCAGATAATATAGAATGAGAGAAGCAGTAGAGAATTGTAGTGTTATAGGCAGATGATGAAGGTACCAATAAGGAATACGCGAGATATGTTCGTATAGGACACCTTTTCAGACATGAAGGGCCATTTAAAGACTCTTTAGAACATAAACATGGGTATACTTCATTTACTTTCTCTAGCGATGTGCCCCTTCCAATGTCTAGGATGCGCGCTGGCAAAATCGTAGGTAGGGAGAAAAAAACTCATTACACTCTCGACTATTGTTCATTAAACGTACTTTTTCATACAGTACCTGCCAAAAGTTTTGTTCAATCATGAATAGTAGTACGAGTCGAAAACAAGCGTTAAAGTCTTTAATATGTCTTCAAATATAAATAAACATCTCGTTGATATTTTCAGTAGTAAATGGTACCAATAACAGCACATTTGAGCAATGCAATTGTAGTGGATAAAATGGTCAATTTTTCCGTGCAGTACTGTACGGATTATACGCTCCTCACCGGTTAAGAGTTTGGCGGAGAGTTGTCTCCTTCCTTTTCTGGCCTAGTGCTGTTCTTTTCTACTTTGCGCCGGTAAAACAGAAGGTCACATCACTACAGAAAGTAAGCGAAGTATAAATGCTAGCTAGATTAGGTTGCTGTTCACAAACAGGCTAAGGAAGCGGGATTATCTAGTTTTACGGAAATGCGAAGATTGGCTCAAGATAGAAAAGAATACTGAAGATGCGTGTCCACCCAGTCTTAGTACTGACGACCCTACGATGATGGTTACTCTAAATTTCTAAAATATCAGTTATTTTTTTATAGTATCGTCGCACATGAAGATTTATTGTAAACAGACTGATGAGTGACGATCTTATTTTTATTTTATGTATGAAATTTGGTTTGACTAACGCTAGTCCAAGTTGATAATTTATTAATTTTTGCCCCATTTCGAAGAAGATGTTATTTACTGTCAGAAAATTCGGAGAAATTACAATCGTAAAAGCTATAATGAATGTAGAAATAGCCTTAAATAAATAAATCTACGTTCAAAACAGTGATTCCATAACGATATCTATTCTATTTTCGTTTAGAATTCGGGGCAACGTCCCACCGTACGCTTTATTTTATTAGGAAATTTTGTATTTAGCACAAATAAAAACCAACAATAAACAAGTGTTTACGAGCTCAAAAACTATTAAACAAGTAACCAGTAAATGTGCCAAATTGTATCAGTAAACTATAAGTTAAAGGAGTATGCAATATGAAAATAAAGTAACGATCCACATATATGCATGAAATGTAGGTAAAAATAAGTTGGTTAATCCCTGAAAGTCCGAATGTAACAACAAACTCATGATCGATATTAATTTGAACAGTGTAAACAACTGTAAAATACAGTCATTAATTAATCTGGTATAAGAAGCAAACTATTCGGAAATTGGAAAATTTACTTCAGTGATATTAAAATCCTTTTCAAGGAGCTTAAAAGAAATCAATTCAATTTATTATAGAGGTAATAAAAATTATTAGACACAAAAAGGTAGGGAAAGAACGAATATAAAGATAGGAGACGAAAGATTAGAAGAAGTGCCTGATTTTAGGTACCTAGGAAGTCAGATAAGTCAGGACGGAAGGAGCAGTAGGCTAGCTCTGCTTTATATCCCTACTGCTACTGTAGGGTCGAGTCGCCTTCAATAAAAAGAAGTCACTTCTATGTTCGGGAATGATTAATTTAGAAATTCGAAAAAGATTGTTAAAGGTGCATGTTTAGAGTGAGAAACATGGACGGTGGGCACAGCCGAAAAGAAAAGGTTAGAAGCGTTCGAAAAATAGGCGACATGGCATGAAAGTCTGGTCAGAGACATATTAGAGGCAGAAACAGGAGTTAAGAGGCATAGAGGTTGACCTAGATTAGATTACTTTTCGCAAATAGTTAAGGATGTGGGATATTCTAATTTTAGGGAAATGCGAAGATTAGCTCAGGATAGGAATGATCGAGTGGTGGTGCGTGTCCAACGAATCTTAGGATTAACGACCTTATGATGAGGATGGTGATTAGTTTTATCATATTAATCATCTTTAACTGTAATAATACGTCGAAGATGTCTCAAGAGATACTTAATAGCGGACGAAAATTCAAGGGACTGTCATAAATGTGTAATAAAACGGAAATTTCTCGGAAAATTAAGATCATTATTTAGTTTATACGTAAAACAAACAAATAAAGGAAACAAACAAAATCGATCAGATGTTTACCAGTTGAACTACAACTCATGTCAATAAAATTTATATAGGATAGAGCGGACGTACCTTTAAACAACGTATAAGTGAACATAAAAATCCTTTGAATCTCTAGACTCTAGACACCTAATCAACGAAGATCATAATTTTGATGATAATGATTTTGAAATTCCACATTACGAAAGTAAACTTAAAAATTTTTCGAAACTAGGGAATGTAATAAATACAAAAATACCAATCTACGTTTAAATTATCAATTAAATATTAATAAGAATTGACCATACTCAACATGTTTGCAAAGCACCCTTATTTACCCACAACTATAACATAAGTTCCGCGTTCTAATGGAGACCTTAATACTAAACATCTCGGTCTGATGTAAATCGAAATAATTGTTGAGTGTTTTAATATAATTTGGTGGAAATTAACATAGAGTTATGTTTACAGGACTGAAGTTTACTTTAAAAATAATTCGTTCAACGTATTTAATAAATTGTATATGTTTCAAATAGAATTTTGAAAAATTCTTATTCAATCCAAATGCGCATTAGACTTTCGACTAAGTTGCTTAAGTAAGTATAATAGCGTCTTGTAGATTGACCTAATTTAAGTGCCAAAGTGATTATCTAAAGGGGAGGAGCTAGTATATTTTTTAACTAAAGATTAAGTTGTTTAGAAAAATTGTTAAAATTTAAAATTAAATAAATAAAAAACATAAATTTGATAGGTAGTTATTTCAAAACGTTTATGAGTTGCATTAAACGTCAAAAAGAGCACGTTCATTTAACTGAATTTTTACATTCGTTTTAGAAATTCCATTGCATCAGTTGAAAATTGAATGTCCCGATGATATTTATATTAAAAACAATACTATTTACCTTTTCCTTACTCCGAATTATGGTTCCTGATAAAATCCACAAACGACAAAAACACCTTTTAATGCAATTAGTTCAGAAGGCATAAATAAAAGAGGCATTACTGCACTCAGTATTTAAAAACTACGTAGACAATTATAAGTCACATATTTAGCTTTTCTTGACCAACACTTTGGTACCATTCTTGCCCAAATTAAGGACCTTTGCGTCCGGCGAAAACGTATAGTACGACAGGGTTTCGTTATCAGCTTGAAACTGCGATCGATGGGTCAGTGTGACCACCACAGCCAAAACACTACACATTAGAATGAACACAAAAGTACAGACAATCACCCACACAACAATTCTTCTGTGGTTCTTCTCCTTTATTGAAATGGGCTCTTGGTAGCTGCTGATGCTCTTTTGACTTCTTGCTCCATTCGACAATTGTCTACTCAAACCTTGATGGGCGCAGCTACTTCTTCTGGAGCTTCTTACACTCCTGGTGGATCTCACGCTGGGACTGTGCCTCAACGAGTGTCTACTTCTTCTACTCGATGATCTTCTACTACTTCTAAAACTGCCGTCAGACCGAACAGACCCATGTCGGGCAACACTTAACCTGTGACCGTAGCTAATGGGTGAATCGGTGGACATGGAGATGCTCCTAGACACCTTGTGACATTCTCTGGAGTACGAGTGTCGTCTTGAACTATTGCAAGTCCTGTCGGACACATGTCTTGTGATGCTACGTCTCGGTCTTGTTGATTCGTCAACGTAAGGAATGTCCCCATCGCAAAGAATCTCGATTTGATCGGTCATCGTTCTAATCCAACTCAATTTGAAACGATACTGGAGAGGACTGGTGTTTGTTAGATGTCTAACATCAATGTCCGCTATAAATAAACCTCGACGTCTTTACGAAAGCGCCTCGACGCAGAGAAGCCGTGCGCATAAAAAAGTGCTTACTTACTACAAGTAAGTAGAACATGCTCCGTTCGCGACCGGATAAAAATGCACACTTTTCTTCCGAAATGTAAACTGTTTATAAATCTGAAGTTGAATTGAAAAAGTGGGTCCAGAAAGTCTCTTTTGATCTAAAAGAAACAATGTTCAACCTGTTATGTTACGGGTTGCTTTCTGTTAAGTGTAACCGATTAGAGAGTCATTGATATACAAAAAACAGAAGAAAAACGACATATTTCATTTTCTATATTGTGGGTATGGTCGATTTTCACCCATCTCAGATAATGTGAAGATATAAGATAATAGCATCAATGAAGTTGACCCAAATAACGAAAATTTGTTCACTTTTTTATTTCATTGTAATGCATTTCTTCGGAAGCCGTTTTACCTCCACCCATTTATAATTATTAACGCCCACCGTATCAAATTTGTGGTTTATAGTATTACTTTGTTTATCATTGTATTTTCCACTACAAACAGTCCATTTGATAGATGTCTGTTACCAGAAGATTGTAACGGAAATTCGATAGGCCATCTTAGGACGTCGTCCGCCATATTGAATTTATAACAATTTCGGATAGCTTTTGTTACAAATAACGTGTGGTTTGATGAATATGTCATAAACGGCAATAATAAAATACAAATATGAACTGCTTGTGCCGTGGAAATTTGGAAGAATTCATAAATGTAACCTTCAGTTAGCATTTGGGACGAAGATTATACGAAATAGGTACTTGCTGTAGTGGTCACTAAAGTGGTTTATTAAAATTTTTGAAATAACCATCTTTTTATCTGTCT